TTTATTTATATATTTCTACTTGCGTATGTTGATTTACCTCGGTTGGCAACGCACCCACCACCTCAGTGGGATAATGTATATCTCTGTATTATTCTATCACATGACAGTGGACCACCGATCTATGTGACATGGACTCGGACGGAGACGGTCGGAGTAACGGAGTGGAACTGGGTGACCCAGAGTGTGTGTGGAGCCAAGGAGAGACACCGGCCAGAACCACCGATCTTAGCCACCCTGGTGAGTTTCTCGTTTGGTTCCTCTTTTTTTGTTTCTGGTTGTGGGTTGTTGGGTTTTTGTTTGGGTTTTTTTTTTTGGTGGTGGGATTGTTTTTTTTTGTTTGTTTTTTCGTCTTTTTTAAGTGTAGATGTGCAGTCTTTGTTTTGTTTTAGTAGAGGTTTTACGGCGCTCTCAACTGCATAAGGTCATATGAGCGCCAGAAGATTAGAGGCGTTACAAGAGAGTAACAAAAAAAAAGAAGAAGATCAGGACGATAGATGTCTGATAGGAAAGAAGAAGAAAACCACACCAGAGCACCCGCCAACCTCCCACAATGTGCAGTTTCCCCACTGACACAACTTATTTCATTTTGTAGTCAGGTTTCGACTATGCCTGCCAGGGCCTATAATATAGTCGGGCTGAGAGGGGTGCAATATCCCAGCATAAAGACCAAGATACTCAATAAAAGAATTACCTAACTGGGGTGTTATCATTGTCAGGAAAATTTGCCTTAAACAAACCGTTGGTTCTATTGGTATCGTGTTGCACTACGGAGCGGATAGCCCTGGTTCGAATCCCCAACAGGGCATTCTGAACTTGGTTTGTTTTGGAGACTTGTTATAGTTCGCCACCCAATTGGGTCTGTCTTTTCAGAGATGTTTTAAATTCGAAGGTCCTGCGTCTTTAAAAAAAATACTTACAGTATTTGAAAGGGGAGTTATACCTATGCGAAAATTATTGTTTAAGTATAATGACTCTTTCAAGCACTGTAAGGATTGATTATAATCAATGAAGACGGGACTTGCTTGCCTTACATGACGGAGAAAGAAATTATGGCGCTACCATCTCAATTCACTTTTCGATGCTAAAAGCTAATAATAGTGTATCTCTACTCGTGTATCACCTTGATGGCTCATACAACCTCACAATTAACTCCGTTATCTAGCCTGTCTATTCCAAATTACCATTTCAGTCTCCTTGAGGATTGGGGGGGGGGGGATACAGTGTTGCAGTCTGATAGTTGCATACCGTTACCATTCCTATAGATTCCTCTGAAACTTCGGGAACCTATCTGTTGCTGGACGCACACATAACAGGAAGGATAGCGTCGGCATGCTGTTCAAATGTTCTTACCCCAGAAACTATTGCAATGCGTGCCTGCCCCTGTACATTTCCTTAAGCTTCGAGATACCTGCTGGCCATGAATTATTGCTTCATACCTGATCTCCCCCCTTTTACAGCAAGCTGGTCTTCCTCCTACTCTGTTTCTTTTTAAAAGAACATTTATTGGTCTCAATATCATGTATGACAGAGCAATCGCAATTGAACTTACTGTAGAAAATGGGATTCAAAACGTCGTATATCGCTCGACTTGGATGACCAAGTGGACAACAATTACTCCTGATATACATTTCTTTTTCCTTTCAAACCCTGTAACGTTGGGTTTGTTCTTACGTTGTAACGCCAACAAAAATATTGTTCTGAAAGTTCGAGTTTCTTCGGAGAATGCCCCCCTTAAACGATTGAAGTATTTCAGGTACCATACTTAAGTCAGATGCGAGTGCAATGTTGGGTGGACGGGACAAGGGCGAATGTTATTGTAGTTGTGAAACGCTTTGAACAATGTTAAGCTTGGATAGGATTGTGCGTTACGCAAATACTATTAATCTATTTTATATTCGGACTAACTCGGGTTCTCTTCGTTTCTCTTTCTACGTCCACCCACAGGTTTCGACGAAGCTACAGTATCGTGCTAAGCACAGGGTCAAGAACCAAGCCTTCATTTAGACAAGTACTTGCCAACCTGGGACATATTATTGTCGTCCGCTAGTGAATGATTTGGGCAATTTTTGTGGGCGGTGGGGTAGTCACAGACGTTATTTAATGGTCTACTGGGAAACACCCATGTAGATAAGTGGTACATAAATTCTAGTCTCTGAAAAGAACAAAAGTGGATGCTTTGGACAAAAAGGTTGACAAGCACTAGCCTATTCTAGATGCACAGTTTTGAATGCACTCATACGTCGAATGTCACCATCACGGCACCGTAAACTCCGGTGCACTCAGCTGCCCTATGACTTTGTTCCAATCCCATTGTCATTTGAAAACAATCGTTCGCTTGCTTTATGCTCGCCAAACATTCCAGTATATTTAGTCAGATCCTTATCTGTGTCACCGAAATAAAAATTAAATGTAGATTGTGCTGTATCATTCAGTATATTTTATTCAGATACTTTGAATTGTGTCGTCGCAATAAAAGACAGCAGATGCTACAAAGGATAGTATTTCTACTCCATGGTGTTCTATTGATGTTCTTTTTTGTTGCGTTTTTTTTTAAACTTTTTTTTCTAATTCTTATGTGAGTACATCGCAGCTGCATTGTTCGGTTTTGATTTCATATATATTACTCTGTCTCAGTTCTATTATTTAAGAAGAAGCGTACTTCTTTTATTCTGTTCGGCCCTTTGCCGTCATTCAAATAGACACCATCTGGTTAGTTAACGATCACCTGCATGGGACGCCTGATGAAATTGCATTAGGGAATAGAGTGAAATTATACAGGGGCAGGGGGGGGGGGCTGCTTTGTAGGAATGTAAGTGTGCTCTGCTAAAAAAAAAACTTAGGTCAGCATTATATTACGTGTATTTTATATCTTTATTCCGACCCGCATCGAAAAGCATGAACTGTATGTACTTTGTTTGCAACTGAATTTAATTTAAAAAACCATCCCCACTGGCAGTTGAGCGTTTTCTTAACGCTCATCCGTCTGATGAAAATACACAAGTACCAGATGTGCATGTTTTGTTGTAGATTTTAAAAAAATTGTTGTTGTTTTTTGGGGGGTGAGGGGGTGGACACAATTGAGATCACATAGGAAGCGGGCCTGCCTGTCCAGGCTAACCCAGACTGAGAAGGATACAATATCCCATCAGAAACACAAAGAGACTAGATAACAATTTATTTATTCCCACTTGGGAATCGAATTTGGGTCTACTGCGTTCCACAGCGAAGCGCCTTACCGCTATACTTTTGAGATATATAAAATACACGTACAGACGCCGGCTGGTGTGTGGTTATAAACATCAACACCGTTTTGATCAAGTGGAGGGAGGACTGCTTCAACCCTTTTTGTTAGGACCAACCCAACATGAGAGGGTTTCAACATTCCTGAAGACAAAAGTAGACTATCGGTGAAAGAAAACAAAAACATCCCAACTCAGGAGTCAAACTCAAATTCTCTGTGTCTCACAGAATACAGTCTAACCGTTACATCACGTACGTCTGTACTGCAGAACAATAGTAATAGTACTAAAAGTTGTATGAACATCTCAAACTGTGAATCAAAGGTGTGATCAGTGTGCCAGTGTACGCAGTACACAGTTACATTTTGAACAAATTATAAAGGATTAGATAAAACGTGTTGCTACCCCAGAACTACAAAGTTCTATCTGTTCCTGCTCAGTACTTAGTTTTGAGAAATCTGGCGTTTAAAAAATTGAGTTTCACATGTCAAGCTTTTTTAAATGCAATTCTTTGAATTTTGATAATCTAACACTAGTTTGATGGAGCAGATAGAACTTTTGGTTTCTGATCCCATGGCTTTAGTTACTCAAAAATACCAGAAATGTCAGATAGAATTTTGCAATTCTGAGGTAGCGATGTACTGTCGAAATTGTCTCAGACAGCCACTCTTTGTCGAGGAGAAAAATGGTTGTCCTTGACAAGAGGACGTTCTGGACAATTTCATTACAATATCAAAATCCGCAAGGAGGAGAGGGGGGGGGGGTCATTTATACAAGTGACTGTCTGGGACAGGTGGCCGTTACAGCAGGTCTTAGTTCTAGTCTTCCTGTGAACCTGAGATGTAATCAGTTTGGCAGGGCATACGTTTATTATAATATATAACGTATTCCAAGAAGGACACCGAAGGTAACATCCACAACCAGCTCAGTAACAAACTTTATTTTTTTTAAACTAGAATTACAAAGTTCTGTTTGCTCAGTACCTGCTTTTGAGAAATTTGACGTGAAAAAGTTTGAGTTTCAAAACATAAAAAGTTTTTTTCGAATGTAGTTCTTTGAGTTGCACACGGGACCTCCGTGATATTTTGCCCTTGTCCGAATAGTCTAAGTGTAGATCTTACCTACTATAAGATCAGAAGTTTCGCTGAAAAATAGCAGTAAGAAGGAGCCAAGGAGAAGCAGTAGAACGGCTGCAGAAAGGGTATCGGGCCCAGAGGAGGGGGAAATAAAGGTGAGGGGGTGAGGGAAAAAATGGAGGCGAAAGCAGATGACAGAACATTGTTTGAGAGCTGGAAAAGATGTGAAAGGAGAACATCTTTGAGAAGAAATTTTCTGTCGCTATCCGGATTCAAACCAGGGACCTATTGAATGAGAGGCGAACACCTTAACCTCTAGGCCACCAGAACCCCCAGATAATTATTTGAGGACGTGACTGACTTATACGTTGGGTCAAAAGCACACCACGTGCAATACTGTGGCATATTTCCAACCACAACATGCAAATTAGAAACACGAATTTACATATTTCACTGTATACCTGTTGTTACTTGCACTGTTGTTGCCTTTGTAAAACAGAAATGAAAAAAAAACTTCTGTGGCCTATAAATAACGAGGTTATACATCCTTTTACAAAGCGTCCCCAACCAGCGCGTGTTCAAGCGTTGTCGAATGACCGGAACGTGCGCAGGCACAGTGGAGTCGCTTTCCCCATACCATCCCCTCACCAACGTTTCACCTTTTTGGTGCGCACCAAAGAAAGTGAGAAGGGGGGGGGGGCAGTGTAAAGTCGCTTTTACCTCCCCTTTCACCGTTCAAGATGGCAGCAGCGTGCTACTAATGCTTCTGTTTTGGCTTTGTTTTTAAAACAGGGTAAAACATGCCTTGTTAATGTTATTGGATCCACCGCATTCACCAACACCGTGAACACATTCGGAGACTAATCATCATAATTTGGTGAAAGAGGTACTGAATGACGAAGAAAAATGCTTGCAAAACATTAGAATGAAACTAGCAACATTTCAGTGTCTTAACGACTAGTTGACACACATTGGTGCATTTTGGTAAGGGGTTGGTGATGGTGCGGGGAGAGGGAACGGCTTTCACTCTGTCTCGTCCAACAGTTTTTGTACGGATTAAATTTCGACGTCAGCAAATCATGTGTCACTCTTTGGTGTTGGTCCAATGGTGCGGTGAAAGCGACTCCGTTGTGCTCGCGTGCATACTGTAGTGTCGTCAAGGAGTTAAAGCGACTCACATAGCTGTTCCAGGGGGCTCTCGTGGTCTAGAAGTACGGTGCTCGCCTCTCAATCAGTAGGGTTCGAAACCTGACAACGACGGAAAATTTTCTTCTCTAAAAATAATAATATATTTCTCCTTTCACCTTCATTTCTGCTCTCTAATCAAGTTCTGTCGTTAGCTTTCGTCTCCAACCCCCCCCCCCCCTCCCCCACGCCCCCTTTTAAAGTGTCCCGCGCGCTCGTGCAGTTGCTAGAGCCGTAAAACACTTACAAAAAATAGGACTGCGCGTCCTCAGTAAGTTCAAGCGTCCCACGTAGCTGTTCCAAGCTCGGTGCCCACAGCAAATGGGTTTTCTACGCTTGGTTTACAGCAGATAATGTAGGTATTATATTGATGGAAGTTGTCTGCTGCTTAAATTTACTTGAATGTTCAATAAGATAGAAATAATAAAATTCCATTTTTAAGGATCCCCGTGGAGACAGTTGGTCTACAATGGTGTAACATGGATTATACAGGCATAAATACCGTTAAAAAAATACATAAATGCGGTAGTCTGCATTCATGCATTTTTCCATAGATATGATAATATAGATACGCGTACACGCATACTGAAATTATAGATGTACTATAATATATGTTGCGGCTCCTCATTGTGCAATGCCTTCTTTGTCGTGTTGTTGGGTTGTTTTTGTTTGTTTGTTTGTTTGTTTCTTGATTGGGGGGGGGTGTTGATATGGTATTTTCAGGGTTTTTTTTTTTTTTTTTTTGGGGGGGGGGGGTTACCCCCCCCCGGGGGGGGTGTTTTTTTTAAAAAAAAAGGGTGTTTTTTTTTTTCTTTTTTTTTAAAAGTGTTTTACGGCGCTCGCAACTGCATAAGGTCACATTAAACATTTTCAGTTGGTGAATTTTTTTAATTTTGCCCGGGTGGCGTTCGAATGATGCTCCTATCGATTTTAGACCACCAAGGGATCTTTAACGTGCGCAACCTGCACATGGGACATCCGGGATTTCTCGCCCTTGTCGGAGAAGGCTAGGTGTAGACCTTTCCTACCTGAAGATCAGGGATATGGCTGAAAGACAGATAGCAGTAAGAAGTAGCCAAGGAGTAGCAGTAGAAAGGCTGCAGAAAGAGTCAGGAGCCCAGAGGAGGGGACAGAGGAGGTGAGGGGGTTGGGGGGGGGGAGTGGAGACGAAAGGAGTGAACTATCTTGTCATGTAGGATCTTTGGTGGTAAGGCGCTTTACTGTCTCATGCAGCAGATCCGGATTCGATTCCCAAAAGGGGAGAATTTTTACAGAGTACCTCAGTCTCTCTTCTGAGATCTTGTAATCCTCTAGCCTGTGTTGGCCCTGACAAGCAGGGTTGGAATCCGGCCTCCTAAATGATCTAAATTGTGTCGAGGGGGGGGGGGGTAAAAACACGTAGGCTACATTTAAACAATTGTTCTTGTCACTTTATGTTAATTTCTATAACCCAACGAAACACAATACACACAACTCAATGACAATTTCGGAACGAGGGATTATTTGCTGTCTCAACAGATCAGATTGAGAGGAAAAGTATCCAAAACAAAGTGAGACCTTTTACCCTGCTTGACCCATTATGTAATTAATTGACAATATGATGCCCTTGTCCGATCATAAACGCTTGGATACCTCATACTGAACGCAGCTCGGATCGGCTCGGCTCGGCTCGGATCGGCTCGGCTCGTCTCAGCTCGGCTCGGCTCGGCTCCGATCGGCTCGGCTCGGCTCGGCTCGGCTCGGCTCGGTTCGGCTCGGCTCGGCTCGGCTCGGCTCGGCTCGGATCGGCTCGGCTCGGCTCGGCTCGGCTCGTCTCAGCTCGGTTCGGCTTGGCTCGGGTCGGTTCGGCTCGGCTCGGCTCGGCTTGGCTCGGTTCGGCTCGGCTCGGCTCGGTTCGGCTCGGTTCGGCTCGGCTCGGCTCGGCTCGGCTCGGGACGGCTCGGCTCGACTCTTGTAGATTAATGGCTGCTTCAGCGCACACTACGAATGCTTACTTGCTTCACCAAA